CCTATTTATTACAAAGAGTATTACAGCCCAGAACGAATAAATTACATAACAGTGTGTATTACACTATAGGGAGACTTAGCAGGCCCAATATAAACCTGGGAGCCATGCCTTCAAACACAACAGCTCTGAAACAATAGCAGTGATCCACAATACCTTAAACCAAACTTCTAGTGTGTTAAAGTTCCCAAAGAGCCTCGTGGACCCCGGGGAATGCTCACACTAAAACCATACATTCAACACATAATTCATATGAGACTGGAAAACCAGCCCCAATGTGTCAGAGTTCAAAGGAGTCTCAGGGACCTTAGGCAGTGCTCACACTAGGGGTGGTAGGAACCTAGGTAACTAAGAGTTGGAGTTTGAAAACCAGTACATTGGGGGGGTAGGGGGACATTTTTAGAAACAGTTTGATTTTTAGTAGCAGACAGATGCAAATTACAGGACTGCAAATAAAATTTTACTTAAAACAAACAGAACCCCTATTTAGTAAATAGTTCAAATAGATCGGTATTGATTTAGACATGGATATTGTACTAGCATTTAAGAAATCACAAAAGAGCCAGGATACTTGAACTAATAGACAGAGTTGGCAACATATTATATGTTTGCAGAATAGGGAACATACAATTGTTTATAGAGGGTTTCATATTACTAGAGATAACTTAGTTAACCTTGTCACTGGGTGATATCATATAGGTATATAGCAAATAGAAGCACACTGAAATCTTAAACTAATAAGCACATAGGATTGAATTGGGTAACAAAGACTTAAAGCATGCCAGTTGAGAAAGCTGTGACAGAAAAAAAAACATTCTGAGGTCGAAGTAAACTATAAGATAGAATAAGATAACAGGAACCGAAACATGCCAGTTGAGAAAGGAGTAAACAGGAATCATAGATCACGCAGAAACATGCTGAGGTTTGAAATAAACTAACCACATAAGCACAGGGAATAGAATAGGATAGCAGGAGTTAACACATACCAGTTAGGAAGAAAGTGAACGGAATGTATTGGCAATTTGAATCCAAAGAGAAAGCCTAGGCTTCCAGCTGGCTAAACAGTGCAGAAATCAGAGTAGTCGCACAAAGAGAGAACTTAAATCCTTTGAAGAAAAGCAGAGATCTTTTGAGTTGTAAAGTGAAGAAATTATAAGAGTGTGTAAGTGTGACTGTAAGTCTGTAAGCGTGAGCGTGTGTTAAAGTCAGAGTAATGAAAGGTTTTTATAGAATACAGTAGAGTAAAACCCAATAAGGCAGGAGAATCAATGGCACACAAATAAGGCAAATAGATCAGTTAATCAGTCAATTAGGGCTAACAGGAATCAATTAATAGGCAGAATCACGAAAGTCACTTAAATTAACACGAATAAATCAGCATTCAAGATTGAGGTCTAAATAAGGTAAGTAGTAAGTCCAGAGATCAATTAAGGAATTAAGGAAAGTAATACCAATTATAAATCACACATAAGGAAAGAATAGGGAAAAATTTGTCAAGGAAATATTAGTTCTTTTTTAGAAAAAATAAAGCACAATTTTGAACCCTAATTAGGCAGGTAAATCAATTAATCACTTTAATTGACAGCCTAAGTAAACTGGCAGACATTATCGCAAACAGTAGAATGATTTAAAAACCTAGGGCATGAAGGCATAGAGATGAAAATCAGTCGAAAATGTAAAGGAAGAAAACCAGAGTTAAACACTTAAACGTTTTAAAATATTTTTGCAGAAATCGCTTAGAACCAAAACCCTAGCTTTAGGAAAAAATGAAATCGGTTGACAATAGTAGGAATAACAAAAGAATCTTAAAGGAAAAGTAACAAACAAACTCAAATCGCTTCAGATCTAAAGGGATCTAACCTGATATAGCTAGAAATAGTTAGGTTATGTAAAAAAACAAACATAGGTGAAAAGATCTGGCTTGAGCCAGAGATTTGAATCCATAAACACGAAGATATTAGTAATCACAGATGTATGAGCAGACACAGACGCATTAACAGAGAAAATGGGACATTTGAACCAAATCTGGTTCGAATCTCTTTGAGATTCCATCAAGTATTATGAAAATCGAACAACCAGTGGAGATATGAGGCCCGAGAAGGCCTGAGGTTGAAGAAAGAACCTATGAATCAAAGGGGTTTCAGTGACAACAGGCTAGGGTTAGGAGGAAGGTGAGAGAGAGGAGAGGAGGGAAGGGGTTTCAAGGGCGGCGGATTTGGGCAAACGGGTAGGGTTTAGGTCGTTTGGTTAATAAAAAAGGAAAGAATGTCCTAGACCGTTGATCTTCTGAGATCGATGGCCAGGATTAAATCTGGGGTTGGGGCGGGTTATAATAATTGGGTAATTGGGATTGGGTTATGGTTATTGGGTTAGGTTAGGGTATTGGGCTGGGGTAGTTATTGGGCTAAGGTCCGAAAATCAAATTAAAACAGGCCATATTATAAATACCCATTAAATTAAATAAAATTTATTTATAAAAATAGTTAATAAATGATGAATGGTGCTATTTATGTATGAAAATTGATTTAAAATAATTACTTCATATTACAAAAATATAAAGAGTCATTTTCGTGTAAAAATAAAAAAATTATGCATACATGGGCTATTGTTGCAAAGTTATTGCAATTATAACCTACAGAATGTAAATATAATTATGTATAATATAATCAAAGCTTAATTATAAATATAAATAATAAAAATCAAGAAATAAATCATTACAAAATTATTTGTAATGCAATTAGTAATTATTTAGATAATAAATGCTGGAATAAATTAATTAAAATCATTTTCAAATTACAAAAAATTATGGAAAAAATACAGGTTGATACTCATGCACTATACTGAAAGTATATATGCATTTTTTTTTAAAATATATGAGGGAAAAATTGGGTATTAACAGTTACCATTGAAACCAGCTGAGTTCCTTCATGGAGAACCAGTTGTGAAGTGGAAGAAACAAGAAGTGAAACAATTCATCGTACCACAAGGACTTCAATTTGCAGTTCTTGGGATATTTTCATATGGAAGCCTATTATTGGTGAATTACATAAAGTGATTCCAATTCAATGTGAGATTAAGGGTCATTATTCAGTTGGTTTGATTGAAGATAATCATGTGTTGATTAGGCTGTCATTATTGAAGGATTATGTTCATCTTCTGTCAAAACCAGATTTTTATTTAAAGGCTCAATTAGACATGTGGTAGATGCGTTGTACAAAATGGAATCGATGGTGGTCACCTAATGAAGAGTCTCCGATTGAAATAGCTTGGATTGGATTCCCAGAACTTCCTCCAAACTTCTTTGGTAAGGAATGTGTATTTTCATTAGCTCGTGTAGTTGGTAATCCATTACATGTAGACTTAGCAACTCAAAGTGGAACTAGACCTAGTTGTGCTAAGGTGAAGGTGGAGGTTAACTTGTTAAGTAAGTTCCCTCATCGTATTAAGATTGCGGAAGAAGCTGATGAATCTGGGCCAGAAGAGTTTAAATGGATTAGGATTAAGTATGATTATATGCCAAAATATTGCAAGACATTGCAAGAAACAAGGGCATAGTGAGGCAGAATGCTGGGTAATTCATCCTGAATTACACAAGAGATTTGATGAAGATGTTGAGGATCAAGGCAAGGAGAACACAGTTGTGGTAAGCACTGAAGTAATTGGTACAACTGCAAATTCAACAAAGGTTCTGTTAAGTGGAAAGGTGGTTGGTAAGCCTGCTACCAATCATGCCAAGCGGGAAAGGATACAATCAAGGAAGAACAAATAGCAACGGGATAATAGGGGTCACATTGTTGATAACAAACAAGGTAAGGAAGCTGACAAGGGTAAAGGGAAGGCCAAACTTGAGGAAGTAGCAACCAAGAACAAGTTTAATGCACTAGAGGTTGAGGAAGTTCGTCAACCTACTCTACAATTTATAGAAGTGAAAGGTGAGGATCATAGCAATTTTAAGAAGAAGGAACATGGGGAGAAGCAATCCAAGAAGGGACATGAGAAGGAAAAGGAAGGCAATACCAGAATGTCAAGCCCCAATCTTAAGGCTTCTGGGTTAAGGTTGGGAAAGATGCTAATGCTAAGCCAGTAATCAACAGGAACTTAAGCATGTGAAGAAGGAAGCAGTTGAGAAAGTGTTGGAAGATCAACATAATGGGAACTTAGCTAAGGCGAATTCTATTTTTCCTAGTGATCAGAGTACTGATGAAAGGGCTTATAAGGACTCCACAATCGACTGGGTTCATAGAAGGTTTTGAACTAGCAAAGAGGAGCTAAGGCAACTCAATGTAACTACAAACCAATTATGTCAATATATTCCGTCTCAAACATTTGCTTTTTCTGGGCAGCTTGAGGACCTTGATGAGGTAAATTAACCAAAGGTTTTATGGAGTGATGCAATTGAGGTGGAGGATGATCAACTAGACAAGAAAAAGGCAACAGGAGACAAAGTGAGGGAGAGCATCCCACCTGGTGATAGGCTGGCGACGCTAGGCCTAAAGCCAGGCTCCCCAGGCGATAGGCTGGCGACGCCAGGCCTAAAGCCATGTACCCAAGGCGATAAGCTGGCGACGCCAGGCCTAAAGCCAGGGTCACCCGATGAAGCAGCGACAAACCCTATCCCTAGTGCAACTGGCAAGATTTTGGCCTATGTAGATGGTGTTCCGGTGTATGCATTGGAGAACAAACTTGATGATAATGTGAAGGCTAGGGATGATACAGTAGGGTCAGACCAAAGTACAGGCAATGGAAAAGGTGGTGATATCAATAGAACTAACATTTAGCATTTCAAAATGATACAGGCTGGTGCTTCTTCTATGGTGAATAGCAATCAAAAGGCTGATGAGCAAGCAATTGTTCTAAGAGCATCTGGGGAAATAGAGGAAGTGCCTATGGAATATGGCACTGACCAAATTATGCAGCTGCATCTTAGTGTTCCACTGAAGACTCCACTATAACATTTATATGATTTAGTTACACACAATGTGGCACCAATTGATAAAGACTTAATGAGACAAAATCCTATGGAGGATGAGGGAGATGATGGATCAACGGGGAAAACTTCAAACAGGTGGCTAGGGATGGTGATCTATCACCTATAGCTAGTGCTAAAGGAGGTAAGAAAACAAAGAAGAATCATAATAAAGAGCCACAACAGCCTTCAAGAATTATGCCTAAGAGAGCAGCTTCTCTATCTAAATGATGATCAAAACATTAATATGGAACATAAGGTTTGTGAATACATAGCAGGCCTTTCCTAGGGTGATCAACATGAATAGGGAGCATAACTTTTGTGTAGTTGCATTGATGGAGCCTTTTCAAAAGAAGAGACTCATTGATAGATATAGAAGAAGGTTGAATATAGAGACTGCTTATGCAAATATTAATGGGCAGATATGCTTGTTCCTTGATGCAGTGTGGAATGGGAATTAGTGGAGGATATTGAGCACCAGGTGACTGTAAGAATGTTTCACCATGTCCTGGGGCAGCACATGATGATGATATTTGTTTATGCAAAATGTTCAGCAATGAAGAGGTTAGAATTGTGGGATCACTTGTATTACTTAGCAAGTGATATGAAATTGCCATGGTTGGTAGGAGGGGATTTCAATTTCGTATTGCATGAAGATGAGAAAATAGGAGGACTACCAGTACACCCTCCTGAATATGAGGATTTTGCATTTTGTGTAAACTCTTGTGGTTTGTTTGAACAAGTATACAAAGGAAGTCCATTTACATGGTGGAATGGGAGATCCAATGCTGCGTGTATATTCAAAAGATTGGATAGGATCTTTATGAATTTGCCATTTCAAAACATGTTTCCAACTATTGAAGTTGAACATCTAATCAGAATTGGATCAGATCATGCACCATTGTTAATGACATGTGAGGAGCAGACCAACAATTTTGTCAACCCTTTCAGGTTCTTGAACTTTTTGGACAAAACATGCTACATTTATGGATGTGGTGAGGCAGAATTGGAAAGCTGATTTCATAGGAGATCCATTTTTGATGTTCAAGCAGAAGCTCAAGAGGGTGAAGGCAGCATTGTCAAAATTGAGCAGGGAAACATTTGGTGATATCTTCAAGCAGTTGGCTATTTTGGAAGACATTGTTAGGGTGAAAGAGATGTTGTTTGAAGAAAAGCCTACAGCCGAGAACAAGATTGTGTTTCAAAAGGCTCAATCAGAATTGAAAAAATACTTGAGTATTGAGGAGAAGTACCGGAAGCATAAAGCTGGGATGACTTGGTTTGCTGAAGGAGATAGGAATACAAGTTTCTTCACAATCATGTCAATGGCAAAAGAAAGAAATTGCAACTGAAGAGGATCAAAAATGGAAGTGGGTTATGGATTGAAGACCAGTAGCAATTGGCTACAACTGCAGTAGACTTGTATCAAAAATAGTTCACAAATGAAGGTGATACATCTGATTTTTCCTTGCTCAATAATGTACCTTCGATGGTCACTATGGAACAGAATTTGGAACTTAGCAGATTGCCAACAATTGAAGAGGTAAGGACAGCAGTTTTTGAGCTTAGTGGGGATAGTGCTAGTGGTCCAGATGGATTCACTGGCCTGTTTTATCAAACATGCTGGGATATTATTAGTGCTGATATACACAACATGGACCTACACTTCTATGGAGGAGCTGCACTGCCTAAATCCATCACTCACACCAATCTAGTGTTGCTGCCTTAGAAACCTAGAGTTGAGACCTTTTCTGACTTAAGACCTATTAGCTTGAGCAACTTCATTAACAAGGTCTTGTCTAGGGTGTTACATGATAGATTGGAAAAAAAATTGCCTTCTCTAATATCTCCTAATCAATCCGGATTTATGAAGGGTAGGAGTATATTTGAGAACATCTTATTGACTCAAGAAATTGTCATAGACATAAGGTTAAAGGGAAAGCCAGCTTATGTGGTGATCAAGCTTGATATGGCCAAGGCCTATGATAGGGTTTCATGGAAGTACTTATTGCATGTACTAAGGAAGATGGGATTTTCTGATCACTTCATCAAAATGGTGTGGAACTTGGTGTCAAATAACTGGTATTCAATATTGGTGAATGGGCAGTCCTCAGGGTTCTTTAAGTCTACAAGGGGTGTGAAGCAAGGGCATCCTCTATCACTAGTGTTGTTTATTCTATCAGCTGATGTACTTTCCATGTCTTTGAATAAGCTATTTGAAGACAGGTCATTTGTGGGATTTAGAATGCCTAAGTGGTCTGATCCATTAAACCACTTGGCATATGCTGATGATACTATAATATTTGCTTCTGCTCATCCTCCATCCTTGAGCAAGATTATGGCAGTGTTGGGGAACTATGAGAAGATATCAGGCCAGATGATCAACAAAGATAAAAGTTCATACTACATGTATTCAAAGATTTCTAATTGATTGTGTCAGGCGGTTGGAGCTATTACAGGATTTGCAAGAGGTAAATTCCCTTTCACATATCTAGGGTGTCCTATTTTCTACCTAAAAGGAGGAAGGAATATTATGAGGACCTTATCAAGAAAGTAAAGGTTAAATTTCATTCACAGAAAGGAAAGTTGTTGTCATTTGGAGGAAAGGCAACACTCATTTTTAGTGTGTTACAAATTATGCCAGTCCACATGTCATCAGTCCTTCATCCACCAAAAAAATGTCCTGGAGCATCTTCATAAGATTTTTGCTAGGTTCTTTTGGAGCATAAAGGAAGAAGGGAGAAGCAGACATTAGGCCTCATGGCAAAATCTTTGCCTTCCTGAAGAGGAAGGGGGCCTAGGTTTTAGATCCTTACATGATGTGTCGAGGGCATTGTTTGCTAAACAATGGTGGAGGTTTAGGGCCACAAAATCTTTGTAGTCTAATTTCATGTTTACCTGGGGGTGACAACTAATGTGGGGGCTGAAGCTAAGGCTATTCTTCAAGGATTGAAATACTGTGTGGAGCATGATCTTCACCCTCTCATATTGGAGATTGATTCATTAGTGATGAAGAAAGTGATAGAAGGGGAATGGGATCCTCCTTGGGTAATTGCAAATGATGTGAAGAAAATTATAGAGATGAAGAAAAACTTCAATGTGATCTTTTAACATGTGTTTCGAGAAGGCAACTCAGTGGCGGATTTTATAGCTAACATTGTGTTTTCTTTTGCAGGTACATCTGAGTTTCACTCATTCTCTGAACTGCCTAGTGTAGGGAGGAGGTTGATTAATTTAGACAAGTCTCAAACTCCTAACCTTAGGGTTAGAATAGCAAATAGAAGAGCCCCAAACTGATGGCTTCACAGAATTGAAATCTGCAATTACCTGCGAGTTTCTTTTATGTCTCATTCTGTATACTTAAGGTACTTTCTAGTGGTATTAGCATGGTCACATGCTCATTCTGGAGGTGCTTTGATAGTGTACAGGACAAATGTGATAAGCAGGTATTGGATAGTGCAATCTATTCTACTTCTGATATGTTCAAATGTTAAGGAAAAGGTTGAATCTGTTATGTGGAATCTCTGGAGATTGTTGAATCATTTCTCAGTGGTATTATCATGTATTCATGCTCAATCTGATGATGGTTTAGCAAAGTTTAGAATGATTTCTACACTAAAGGTTCGGGAAGAAAAGGATTTGAGCTTACAAGATCATAAAATCATCCAACACCACAGGCCTAGCGGCGCCAGGCTAAAGCCTGATGATACCCTGGCGTCGCCAGCTTAAAGCTAGCCCCTACCTGGCGTTATCCTGGCATCGCGAGCTTAAAGCCTGCCCTGACATGGTTTTTGCCTTGCAAAGCCAGCCTAAAGTCATCCCCAGCCTGGCTTTTGCCTTGCAAAGCCTGCTTAAAGCCAGCCCCATCCTGGCTTTTGCCTTACAAAGCCTGTCTAAAGCCAGCCCCAGCGTGGCTTTTGCCTTGCAAAGCCTGCCTAAAGCCAGATTCAAGATAGGTGTAGCCAGTCTCTTTTACATGATAATATTGATGAGCGAGCACATGATTTATACTTGGATAAACTCAGTACACTGCCGATGGAGATCATATTGTAGCAATACTAATGATTGGAAGACTATGCTGGCTTCAATTCTATGGTGGAGATGTTTGGAATTCATTTTAGCCTATGGACTACATACCCTGGCGCCTGGTGAGAGCTTGATAGGTGCTACTTGGTATTTGCCACTGGCAATTGGATTCACATACACTGGCAGGAGAAGGAAGAATTCAGCGGATAATGTTGTAATAACTAGTTCATTAGACTTTAACTTTTCTATATTTTTAGTAGCTAGTAGCTTCATGCAACTTCCATTTTGGTTTGGAAAAAAATTATGACGACCCCCATTTGCTTTTCCATAAGGACACAGTGCAGCACGGTAATGCTAAGGAGGTTTCTATTGGAGATGATGGGGTGTTGCAGATGCATGGTTGGATTTGTGTGCCCAATGTGGATGGGTTACGTGTGTTGAGTCTTGAGAAGGCCCACAGTTTGCAGTATTCCATTAATCCAGTTGCCACCAAGATGTATCAGGACTTGAGGCAACACTTTTGGTGGTGAAGAATGAAGAAAGACATAGTAGAGTATGTGGCTCAGTGCTTGAATTGTCAGCAAGTGAAGCACGGGCATCAGAGGTCGGACGGTTTGCATCAAATACTTGATATTTCCGACTAGAAATGGAAGCGTGTTACCATTGACTTCATTTTTGGACTCCCACGATCTTTGAAGAAATTTGATGCAATTTGGGTGATTGTGGACCGGTTGACTAAATTTGCACATTTCATTCCGGTTGTGACTACCTATTCTTCAGAGCGACTGGTTGAGATCTATATCCGTAAGATTGTTCGTCTTTATGGCATGCCAATGTCTATTATTTCTAATCGAGGCATGCAGTTCACATTGCTGTTTTGGAGAGAAGTGCGGCGAGAGTTGGGCACACCGGTTGAGCTGAGTACAACACTTCACCCCAAGACGGCGGACAACTCAAGAGCACCATTCAGATCTTGGAGGATATGCTATGCACTTGTTTTATGGATTTCGGGGGTTCGTGGGATCAGTTTCTACATCTTGCAGAGTTTGCCTACAACAACAGCTACCAATCGAGTATTTAAGTTGCTCCTTATGAGGCCTTATATGGGAGGAGGCTTCGTTCTCTAGTTGGTTGGTTTGAGTCGGGAGAGGCTAGATTGTTGGTTACTGATTTGGTTAGGGATGCCTTAGAGAAAGTCAAGTGTTTTCAGGATTGGCTTCGTATAGCACAGTCTAGACAGAAGAGTTACGCTGATCAGAAGGTTCGTTATGTTGCATATATGGTGGATGAGAAGGTATTGCTCAGATTTTTACCCATGAAGGGTGTGATAAGGTTCAGGAAGAAGGGCAAGTTGAGCCCTCGGTATATTGGCCCTTTTGAGGTGCTTGAGAGGATTAGAGAGGTGGCATACAAGCATGCATTGCCACCTAGTCTATCGGTTGTTAAGCCAGTGTTTCATGCTCTATGCTCTAGAAGTATTATGGTGATCAGTGTCATGTTTTGGACTTCAGCACAGCTCAGTTAGATGGGGATTTGACTTATGGTGTGGAGTCGGTGGCCATTTTGGATTGGCAGGATCGAAAGTTGAGATCAAAGAATATAGCTGTGGTAAAAGTTTAGTAGAGAGGCCAGCCAGTCGAGGAGTCTACTTGGGAGATCGAGCAAGAGATGCGGAGCAGCTACCCACACCTATTTGAGACTCCAGGTATTATTCTAGACCCGTTTGAGAGCGAACGTTTGTTTAAGAGGGGGAGAATGTGACGACCTGGCTGATCGTTTTGATTATTGTATCCCCGTTCCCCCATTTATCTCTTCTTCTATATTCATTGGTGTTTATGCGATTTTCTGAGGTTGTTGGTTTGGTTCCCGGGATGATTCAGAGTGAATTAGGACACTTAGTCCTAAGGTTGGAGGCTTAAGTTGTTAGAGTTGATCGGAGTTTGGCTTTTGTGTAGCAGACTGCATAATAGAGTTTTGGTGGTTCTGATAGCTTCGTATGATGATTTTGGACTTAGGAGTATGTCCGAATGTTGATTTCGAAGTCCGTAGGTCATTTTGGCTTGACTTGGCGAAAATTGGAAAGTTGAAGGTTTGGAAGGTGTAGAGGTTTGACCGAAAGTTGACTTTGTAGATATCGGATTTGGATATCTATTTCGGGAGTTGGAGTAGGTCCGCTATGTCATTTTGACTTGTGTGCTAAATTTGAGGTCAATCCGAGTTGGTTTGATATGATTCGGCATTAATTTTAGAAGTTGGAAGTTCATAAGTTCATTAAGCTTGAATTGTGGTGTGATTCGTGATTTCGATGTTGTTTGATGTGATTTGA